TGTGGACTCTCTGATGCTCGGTGAGGTTGGACTCGGCTGATGCTTTTCTCACGGGCAGGGCACTGGTCTGGCCTCTCTCCCGTGTGGACTCTCTGATGCTCGGTGAGGTTGGAACCGGCTGATGCTTTTCTCACGGGCAGGGCACTGGTCTGGCCTCTCTCCCGTGTGGACTCTCTGATGCTCGGTGAGGTTGGAACCGGCTGATGCTTTTCTCACGGGCAGGGCACTGGTCCGGCCTCTCTCCCGTGTGGACTCTCTGATGCTCGGTGAGGTTGGAGCTGGCTGACGCTTTTCTCACAGGCAGGGCACTGGTCTGGCCTCTCTCCTGTGAGGGCTCCCTGGTGAAGAACGAGGAAGGACCGCCAAGGGAACCTTTTCCCACAGTCCTTACACAGGCGGGGCCTCTCTCCAGGGGGGATTCTCTGCTGGCCAGTCAGTGCCTTGGATTGTTTCAGCTCCTCTGGTCCTCGGCAGGGACCGACCCCTCTCTCCTGCGGGTGGTTTCCCTGCTGCCTCTCTGGCCTGCGCTGAGTCTTACGGGCTTCTCCCTGCTCTGGACACCGGGACACCTCCCCTTCGGCTCTTCCCAACCCTGCTGGCTCAGGCCCCTCTTTCAGGGTATTTACAGCTCTGAGGCCTAGGCACCAGGGAAGCCCTCCCAAGGCCAGGGAGCTGCCTGGTCAGCGGGGCGGGGAGAGGTAGGGAGACCCGGGCCCTCCCGCTCCACCGGGTCCCAGCCCAGGGCCCTGCGGGCAGATGCGGGCAGAGGCGCGCGCCTCCCCCCCCGCGGGGGCCCCCCCTGCCGATACACACCGAGCTCCGGCGGATAATCCTCTGCCCTGGGCTACTTCCAACCACTCCCTGCGGACTGATCAGTTCACTGCGCTCTTGTAGGCCACCCCCTTAGCTGGGGCTGTCGCTGGGGCTACGGGGGGTTACGCAGAAGGAATCAGCAGCATTTGGCCTTAGCCTGGCTATAAGGGCGCAAGTTAAGGCCGTGCCCAGGCTCCAGGCTGGAGGGCCAGGTGGGGCGGTGATGACGTGCCCAGTGACTGAGAACGGAGGCCTGGGGAGCTTTGCCGGGCGCAGGGGCGCAGGCTGCCTGTGCGCTGGGGAGGGGCCGGGAGCGGGGGGGACTTCAGCCAGAGAAACGTCTCAGTGGTCACAGCTGCCTGTGGCTTTTATACCCTGCCTCCCCTGGGAGCCTGCCTAGCAGGGCTGTGGGGTGGGGCCTTTTCCACCAGCTGGTCCAGGGCCGCTCCCTCCCATCAGCGCAGGGTAGGTTGGCCCCGTCACACTGGGCTGTAATGGCCACGTGCATGGATGGCAGAGGGGGGTTGTAGAAAGCGAGGGACCTGTAACCAAGGAACTGAAACAGAGGGTTGTGACTTTTCAGCTGCGTTCCTCACAACAACACTGTGGTGGGTTTAACACAACGCAGGGCCCACTTCAAAGCAACGTACCTGGGGCACAACATGCCCACGATATGCCTGCCCACCCGGCTGTGCTGGGGAGGCCACAAAAAATGTGCAAGAGGGAACTCTTCTCCCTGTGCTGGTGGGTGAAACGGGGCGGGCAGGGGCTGCCATTAAGGCAAGAAGACAGGGCCCCTCTCACCCCCACTGTGCCTCCGGGATGTCCCTTGCCCCAGAGCCCTCTAGGGGTTTGGAACAGCTGCCATAGGAAGAGAGGCTAAAAAGACTGGGACTTTTTAAACTTAGACTAGAGGAGACTAAGGGGGGATAGGACAGAGGTCTATAAAATCATGACAGGTGTGGAGGAAGTGAATAAGGAAAAGTTATTTGCTTGTTCCCACAATAAAAGAACGAGGGGTCACCAAATGAAATGAAGAGGCAGCAGGTTTAAAACAAACAAAAGGAAGTTTTTCTTCACACAGCGCACAGTCAACCTGTGGAACTCCTTGCCAGAGGATGCTGTGAAGGCCAGGACTTTAATAGGGTTAAAAAACGAAATAGATAAAATTCATGGAGGACATGTCTATCAATTGCTATTAACCAGGATGGGTAGGAGTGGTGTCCCTAGCCTCTGTTTGTCTGGAAACAGACGACAGGAGAGGGATCACTTGATGATTCCCTGTTCTGTTCACTCTCTCCGGGACACCTGGCACTGGTCACTGGGGGCAGACAGGACATGGGGCTGGATGGACCTTTGGTCTCACCGAGTTCGGCCGCTTCTACAAACGGGGGTGCACATGGACTCAGCAGAGTGGAATTTAAACAAACAACAAAAGAAAGTGGGGAACAGCCTTGCATTGGTGGCAGCGGTGGGATGTGTAGGAAAGAGTAATGCCCCTCCCATCCCCCACAGTCTCACACGAAGTGGCTTTGATGTTGGAAAAAGGGAGAAGTGTTATTACTGTAATGAGGTTAACTGACCTGTTGTTATGACATGCACACGAGTGGCAGCTTTTAGATGCCCCCCTGTCACCCGCCTGGTGAGCAGTCGCAGATTCCAGAGCTTCACACCAGCCACTGAGCAAAGGTCACCACCTGCCCCCTAGGAAAACCAGTCAGGCCGCAGCCTCAGCTGCCACAAGACTGCTCTGAGGAGACAGGAAACCTTCTTGCTGGTATAACCGCTTCCCACAAAGCAAGGAGACTGCATGGCCAGGCTGAATTTGCCCAGGGCTTGTCAGAGCTGAGCCTGGCAGCTCTCATACGCTTCTCAGAAGCAGGCGGGAACTTTTTCAGGGGAAAAGGCAAGACGTCACATTTATTGAGAACTAGCAGAAATACCCGGCATCACCCAGGGAAAATATAGTAAAAGATGTGATGAAGGAACTACATCAGTGACATTAACATAGCATATTTTATTGGAAATATTTTTCTCTTTTATATTACTTTAAGAAATTCATGTAGCTAGTACTTCTTTTGTCGCTGCAGAGGATGCAGCAATAGACGACGGGAGCCAGTAGAGATTAGTGTCAAAATAGCGAAGTTTTATATTGGTACAAAAACACACAGTCCACTTATAAACAAATATTTTTGGGGAAAAAAAACCAAACACCCCCCGAACCGTTCATCAAAAGAGCAGAACTTATAAAGAGTAAAAAACATTTAAGCTAAATTCAGACCAACTATGGCATTGTGTATGTGTGACATTGTGTATGCAACATTGTGTATGTGTGACATTGTGTATGCGACATTGTGTATGCGACATTGTGAAAGTTTGACTGTTGCCTGTGGTGACGTGGTCGGGTCCTGCAGTTACCCCTGATGCCACAGTCAGTGTCAGGCCATGGGGGGCAGCTGCCAGAGGACTGTTAGGATCTATACAAGTAACACAGTGTCTACAGTAATACTGCACCAACGTAGGTACAATGAGCATGGCTCTATACCAGGCATGCAGGTGTTGTTGTTACGCTGACACAGCAGAGGGCTGACATGAGCGGGAGACAAATTCAAGTTCAGACACTCGCACCCCTCGGCTGCAGAGAGGACGGGTGAGTTCCGTGTATTCCAGCCCCTCCTCTCCGCAGCTGCTGCAGGCTGAGACACCGGCCAGCGCTTGCTCTCTGCTGCTGCTACGTCTGATGCTAATTCTCATTATCTTTCCTCTTCTTTGCTGGACGCTGCTGATCGTCTTCTGCTGCTTCGTTTCTGCTGCCCATCGCTGCTCCTGCAACATCACACAGGGAGGTTACGTCACGTACCCCAGCTCCAGGGGAAACCCTTGCTCCCCGCAGACTCTGTGTGGCCGTTCACTGCCCCACTGCGGCCCCACTCGATCTAGGGCTGAGCCCCAAACCCTGCTCCAGGATCTCAGCTCCAGGAATGATCAGCCAGAAATAAGGCCCCACGACGGAGTCTGATCTCCCCAATCTCGCAATGCTGGGGGGAGCCGGTAAAATGGGACTAGAATCCCCCCCCAGACAGAAACAGCTGCCCCATTTCCTCTTCGCTGCCTTGGGCGTCCTGCCCCACAGCCACAGCTAACGTGAATTGCACCCGAACGCCAGACACAGCTGATCCCCCTGGCACACGGGTGGGTTTGTGAGGGCACCGGGGGGCCCTGCTTCCCAGAGAGAGGCACGGCCGGGGGGGGGCATGAGGGATCATGGGCCACCCCCCCAATTTTTGTGGGTGCCCAGCTGCCCTGAGGGGCTCACTCTGCTCAGCCTGCCAGAGGAGAGGGTGGGGGCTCCTCCTCCCCACAGCAGCCCCCCGACCCTGAGGCTGTAGTTCTGCAGCCAGGCACGGCCCCCTGGGTCACAGCGCCCGGCTGTTCCTGTCTGGCTGTGAGTGCTCCCCCCTCCCCAGCGCCAGCAGCCCAGGTACCTCTGCCGGCCGGAGAGTGAGCGAAGGGAACTGGCTTCCAGGTGCACCCGGCTTTGCCCCCCTTCCCCCATGTACCACTCTCCTGAGTCTGTGCTTGGCCGGGCATCTCCACGTGCTGAGCACTGAACCCCACAGACAGACACTCTCGCGGGGCAGGGCCCCTCTTACCTTCTTGTTTGCTACTCGCAGGCAGCTCTCTTGCTCCCTTCAGGTTCCTCTCCTGGTGTCAGAGGCCTAAACACAAGATTTACTGAGTGGCCACCAGGGCAAGCTGGGGAGGGCTAGCCTCCCACTAGTTCGAATTAAGGGGCTACACACCCCTTCATTCGAACTAGTAAGTTTGAACTAGGCTTAATCCTCGTAAAATGAGGTTTTCCTAGTTCGAACTAAGCGCTCCGCTAGTTCGATTCAAATTCGAACTAGCGGAGCGCTAGTGTAGCGCCTATGAATGTTAGTTCAAACTAACGTCCGTTAGTTCGAACTAACATTGTAGTGTAGACATACCCTCACACACACACACACACACACACACATCCTGCAGAGGGTGCATAGTTACCAGTCCATCGTAGCTCAAGTCAGTCTTTTGCTGTGTCTAGACTGCACTGTTAAATTGGAAAAAAATACACAATTTGCAGTCATTGCGGATCTTTTTCCAATTTACTTTCGAAAGAGGCTCTTTCCAAATTTGGCATCTACATAGTGCCAAATTGTGAAGAAAGTGCCCTTACGAGCCATCCCTTGTTCCTCATAGAAAAAGGTTTCCACGGATGGTGAAAGAATGCATCTGTTCTTTCGAAAAAAAATGTTGTGGGTTGTGCCCACAAACTCTCATGCTCCCATCTACCTGGTTTGTTAGGGTATGTCTACACTACCCTCCTAGTTCGTGCCCCGTGTAGCCGCGCTGCACGGGGTTCGAACCAGCTGGGTTTTAAAAATGGCGGCTCCCTGCTTATGCAAACGAAGCCCGGGAAATTCAAATCCCGGGCTTCATTTGCAAGTGCGGTATGCCTACATTACCCTCCTAGTTCGAACTAGCAGGATAGTGTAGACATACCCTTTGTCTTTAAGGAGTTACCAGACTATTTGTTGTTTTTTTAGCTTTTCCTGTTACAGACTAACTCGCCCCCCCTCGGAAGCTCAAGTCTTTTTGACTGTCTGAAACTTCCTGACACCCTTCTAACGCATTCTCCACTTCCACCACACAATGGACAGATCACTTTATACAAAGGACGACAGAGTTACTAAAGGACACAGCTTGGTTTGCAAAGCAGACACACTCTGCCCATGAGACTCATGAGAAACAGCATGAAATAGACGCATACAGAACTTAGATGCAAATCCTTACACAGCAAATCAATATGCAGCATACTTGTGCATTCCAATCAACACACATTTTGGCTACATCAGCTTGGCAGCTCTTAGTCTGGGCTTTTGCCAGACCAGTTATGAACGTGCAGAAATTGCGTGAGTCCTGGCACCTCTTCCATTGCAAATTGAGCATGGAGCATGCCCAGAGACCCAGATCAGTTTGAATTCTGACCTGTCCTCCAAAGCACCTACAACCTTTCCCAGCTTGGGATCATCCACAAACTTAATAAGCGTCCTTTAAGCCAATAGACCATGCAGCATTGCTTCAGAGACAGGGCCTGTCCTCCCACACAACGGGAAATGGGGAGCAGTGTCTACACCAGCAACCCCAGGTGAGCCCAGCGTAACGGTTGATGAAGATATTGAATAGAACTGTTAATAACTTCTCTCTGCAGTTCCAGCGAGCTGTGTCAGAAGCCAGACCCAGCATTTCAGGGCAGACCAGGCCTCGGCCGCGCTGCCGTTCAAGAGGTGAGTGACAGACAGGAAACAGTAGTTACAGTCAGTATTTAATAAAGATACAGATCATCTTCGCAAATGGCACCTCTGATAGTTTACACAATCCACCCCCCTGCCGTCTGCGTGACGAGGAAAATAAAAGTGGGGATCGCTACAGAGCATACACGCCTACAGCATCGCTACAGAGCATACACACCTACGGCATCGCTACAGAGCATACACGCCTACAGCATCGCTACAGAGCATACACACCTACGGCATCGCTACAGAGCATACACGCCTACGGCATCGCTACAGAGCATACACGCCTACGGCATCGCTACAGAGCATACACGCCTACGGCATCGCTACAGAGCATACACGCCTACGGCATCGCTACAGAGCATACACGCCTACGGCATCGCTACAGAGCATACACGCCTACGGCATCGCTACAGAGCATACACGCCTACGGCATCGATACAGAGCATTCCTAAACCTGAAATACCCACCTGGAGAAGTAAAAAACCAGCTTGACAGAGCCAAAAAAGGACCCAGACATGAACTGCTTCAAGACAGACCCGAAAGGGGAATAACAGAATTCCTCTTGTTATTACCTATAGTCCCCAACTTAACCCCCTCCGGCGCATTATCCACAACGTACAACCCACCCTGGAAAATGGTCCCTCGCTCTCAGAGGCCTTAGGGAGAAAAGCCCATTCTCGCTTACAGACAACCCCCAACCTGACACCAATCATTTCCAGTCATCATGCTACACAACCACATCGTACGCATCCAGGAACCCAGCCGGGCAATTGGCCGAGGGGCCAACTCTGCCCACATCTCTAGAGAAGTGAATTCATCACTAGAGCCAACAACATAAGCCACCAAATCAGAGGATCATTCAACTGCACTTCCAGTAATTTGGTCTCTGCCATCAAATGCCAGCAATGCCCCAATGCTGTATGTATTGGAAAGACTGGACAGTCCTTACAGTCAGGGTGACCAGCTGGCCGGATGCTGCTGGGACCGTGCTGGGATTCGGGGCTTGGTCTTGTACAGGTGCCTATTGTCCCCCCCCTCCCCCCCGCTCTGGTTGCTGTCTGGTCCCCCTGTCTCCACCCCCAGGATCTGAGCCCCTGGGGATCCCCGAGACTCCCCATGGACACAAATCAGATATCCAGAAAGGGGACAAATAGAAACCTGTTGGGGAACACTGCAATCCACCCAATCCCCCTTTAAAAGATCCCCAGGTGGCTGTCTTGTCACAGACCAATTCCACAAGCCAAATACCCGGAGAAGGGTTGGAATGACAATTCATCCACAGATTTAATTCTCAACCCTGTGGCCTCAGTGGAGATAACGGTTGGCTGGGACATTATCAGCCAAACAAACAATGAAGGTGCCAACAGCTCTTGGTCTGTGTAGGGTCTTGCACTGGTACCCTTGCTCTCTAATTGCTACCCTGTGATCCTTATCTGCTTCTTTTAACGGTCCAATCTTTAGGTGCTTATAGATTGCCAGCTCTGCCTCTTTGGTTTTCCCTTTGATATTTTCATACTCTCTGCTCCTGGTTTCCTGCCCCCCCTTCCCCTATTTATTTTGGGTCTTGACATCCTAAACTCAATACTCAGGTCATCTGAAGTAGTGGGCTGTGCCCACGAAAGCTCAGGATCCCATATACATTGTTTTGTTAGTCTGTAAAGTGCTTCTAGACCGTTTGTTGTTTTTTAAGTTTCTCTCTGAAAACGGTTATCCAGCCAGTTATGCACTCACCTATGTTGTAGTTTCCTAGTTTATTGATAAGAAGATAATGCGACACCATACCGATGCCTTACTAAAATCTAGGTCCCATGTCCCCTCTTATCCCTTATCGACGAGAAAGCTATCAGATTGGTTGGACATGATTTGTTCTTGACATCCATGCTGGCTCTTACCTACCACTACATGACCTATTTTTACTTCATTTCAAAGAACTTCCCAGGTATGGAAGTTAAATTTACAAATCTGTAATTGCCAGGATCACCGCTGGAGCCCTCTTTCAAAATCAGCGTTACATTAGCTGCCTTCCAGTCCTCGTGTACAAAGGCTTCTTTCAGCACTGGGGTGCACACGACAGTTAGGAAATTACAGAATGACTAACTTCCTGATCGTCATTACCATTAATAAAATAATCACATTTTCCTGTTACCAATGTGCCTCCAGAAAGCTTCTTTTCAAATTCTTCTTTGCCCTGCCTGATTGTACCGACACACTCGTCCTGCCAGAGTTCACGCTGTTCTCATCACCGATTGCCTCTGCTTGGCTCTGTCACCCTCTGGCCTTCTTACGGGTCCTCCTATTGCCTGTTCCGACTGGGCAGATAACGGCTCACAAGCCGTCGCGCATGGTGTCTAGGAATTCTCCGGGAGACGACTCCCAGCGGCTCAGGGAATTTCTAGCCTGTCTCCCGTCCCCTCCCTTCCCCTAACTCTGCCCCTTCCCCGGTGACTCAAATAACGACAGATCAGCGACACCCGGCAGGTCTGGGGGGCAGGGGGGTCGTTGGCTCTTCACACCCCAGCGCCCCTCACACACTCACCTTTTCCTGGTTTCCTTTACAGGCACCGACCCCAAAACCCACCCGCACACCCCCCAGAACCGGCTTGTTACCTGAGTGTCCCTGTCGCTCTGTCTCCTCGGAAACCTCCCTCCCAGGGGAGTAGCTTCTTGATAACGATTCCTGTGGCTCCATCTGAGAAGTTTTATCTTCAGACCTGAACAACAGTAATTATTCGCCACATTAACTCTGCCCTTTACGCTTTAGCACAACGTACTGGAGAGAGGCAGGAGGAAGGGAAGACTGTTGTATGAACTATTAACATGGGGTGTAGCAAAGAGTCTGGCCAAATCTCAGAAAACCCTAAAACCTCTTTAGAGGTGGGCGAGAGAAAAGTTCTCTCCCTCTCTCTATATATGTAATAGGGGTGTCCGTTGTCCTGAGCTAACGCCTGTGATTAACGCAGGACAGAATGAATGACTTAATTTTTTAATTCATTAATTGCAGGTATTAATGCCTCATTACCTCTTTGAAATGCCACTCTGGGATCACTCCCTGCTCACCCTGGCTAATGGGCATTGATGGACCCAACCTCCAGGAATTTGTCTCTTTTCTGACCCTGTTAAAACAGTGGGATGGCTCACGGGGAGGGGAGGGGAAGAGCTGGGGCGGGGGGGCCTGGGCTGGGCAGAGTGGGGGACCTCCAGGAATTTGTCTCTTTTCTGACCCTGTTAAACCCTCCTCTCCCACAGAGCCCCTGGCAAGGGGATCTACAGATGAACTGTGCATTGCATGGACAGTACAACCCCTTGTGTCTATTCATCCTGCTGCCCGGGAGCTCTATTGTGGGAAAGGGTCAATAGCACTTGGTATTCACTTTTATACCCCAGTCATTGTGTTACACACCACCACGATATTCCCCCCTTAATTATCTCTTGTGTAAGCTGACCCGTCACATGCTTGTTCTGTTTTCTGTCCCTGCCAGGTGTTCCACCCCCTGGAGCATCTCTACTGTCCGTCTGAACTGGGTCCAGTTCCACCATTTCTCTCTCAGCTGGCCAGAGCTGGATGCGGTACTCTAGATCTGGGCACGCCCTGGCTTTACATAGGGGCCTTATTATATCGGCTGTCTTATTTCCTATCCCTCTCCCAATAGTTCCCAACATTTCAGACCCCTGCTGTGCACGGAGCTGAAGTCCCTGAAGAATTACCCACAGTGACTCTTTTGCAAGTGATCACAGCTGAATCAGACCCCATCAGTGTATCTGTGTAGTTGGGATTATTTTCCAGTGTGAATCCCTTCACACTTCGGCTACGTCTACACGGCAGGATTTTTGCGCAAAAACCCACGGAGCATCCACACCTCAAGTGCATATTTGCACAAGAAAATCTACAGTCAATTGACAGAGCAGAGGGCTTTTTGCAGCACAGCTATACCTCCTTCTACAAGGCATGGCTCCCTTTTGCACGACGGCTCGACCTCCCCGTGGGCAGAGGGGAAGAGCTTCCATAGTGAGACCTTTCATTGGTCCCTGAACAGCCAGGCTCAGGGGCGATCCAGGGACACTCGAGTGAGGAAGGACAGAGCCTCGCTTCTTCCATCATGTGGTACCAAAAATGTATCAGATCCTGTGCGTGTGTGTGTGTGTGCGTGCGTGTGTAGGCGTGTGCGTATGTGATGATGTGCGTGTGTTTGCGTGTGATGGGGTGTGTACATCTCGCACTAAGGAGCAGGGAGCTGCCCTGGCCCAGCTGGGCAGGCTCCAAGGGGAAGCTGGGTATAAAAGCCCAGGGAGACGCTCAGTCGGGGCTGGCCGCCGGAGGGGAAGGAGCTCGGGCCGGAGCCCCTGAACAGCCTCTGCAGTCGCCACCCCAGCCCCAGCTGGGAAAAAGCACAGGCGCTCTGATGGCTGTTCTGTGAATGGCCCTCAGATCTGTAATGAGTATGATGAACAGCGCCCAGTGCTGGTACAGACTCTGGCAGGATCCCAATGTTTACTTCTCCATTGTGAAAACTTTCCTTTGATTCCTGTACTTATGTCCTATCTGGTAACCGGGTACTGATCCGTGAGAGGCCCTTTGATCTTATCCCATGGCCATTTAGTTTCCTTAAGAGCTTTGGTGAAGGATCTTGTGAGCAGCTTTCTGAACACCCAAGTGCACCAAATTGACTGAATCAACCTTATCCACAGGTTTATTGACACTCCCAAATACTTCTAATCGATTGGTGAAGCCGGACTTCCCTTTATAAAACCATGTCGACATTTGCCCAACAAACTGTGTATCTGTGTCTGACAAGTCTGCTCTTTGCTATCGTTTCAATGTATTTCCCAGGGATAGAAGTTACGTTTCCAAGTCTGTAATTGCCAGGATCACCCCTGGAGCCCTCTTTCAAAATCAGCCGTACATTAGCTGCCTTCCAGCCCTCTCGCACAGAGGCGTGTTTCAGCACTGGGCTAGTCATTCTGTAAATTCCTAACTGTCATTGCCATAAAATAAAATAATCAAATTGTTCTGTTAGCCACCCCTCTCTAGAAAGTTTCTTTTCAAATTCTTCTTTGCCCTGCCTGATTGTACAGACACACATGTGCTGCCAGAGTTCACGCTGTTCTCATCACCCATTGCTGCTGCTTCCCTCTGTCACCATCTGGCATTCTTACAGGTCCTCCTATTGCCTTGTCTGATCGGGCAGATAACGGCTCACAAGCCGTCGCGCACGGTGTCTAGGAATTCTCTCTGCAGCCCGTCCCGAGGGCACATGTAACTGGCCAAGAAGAGGCTCGTTGAAACCCCCCCTCACTAACACTGGGCGTTCGGCTGCTCTAATCCCCCCACAGAATTTCACTGTCACTGTCCTCGTCCCCTGTGGCCAGGAGCATATTCCACTGCCGGACACACAGCGAGTAGGGAGACGACTCCCAGCGGCTCAGGGAATTTCTAGCCTGTCTCCCGTCTCCTCCCTTCCCCTCATTCTGCCCCTTCCCCGGTGACTCAAATAACGACAGATCAGCGACACCCGGCAGGTCTGGGGGGCCAGGGAGGGCCGTTTGCTCTTCACACCCCAGCACCCCTCACTACCCACCTGTTCTCCGTTTGCTGCGCGTCCACCTGGGGAAGAGACACAGGAGACGATCAGCTGCCCGTGACAGGGGCAGTAAGATGTTCTGGGTCTTATTTTCTATCCCTTTCTTAATAATTCCTAGCATCCTATTTGCCTTTTTAACCGCCGCTGCACTCTGTGTGGAAGTTTTCAGAGAACTGTCCACGATAACTCCAAGATCTCTTTCCTGATTTGTCGTAGCCAAATTAGCCCCCTTCATACTGTACGTATAGTTGGGGTTATTTTTCCCGATGTGCATTACTTTACACTTATCCACATTAAATTTCATTTGCCATTTTGTTGCCCAATCACTCAGTTTGGTGAGATCTTCTTGGAGTCCCTCACAGTCTGCTTCTGTCTTGACTATCCTAAACAGTTTGGTATCATCTGCAAACTTTACCACCTTGCTGCTTACCCCTCCTCACTGCTTACCCCTGCTTAAGTTTTACAGCATTTTATTATTTTTGTGCTTTCTACACCCCAAAATGTCATTGCCTGCTGGCTACAATTAAGTCCTTTAAACAAATGTGTTGCAATGATAGAAGGAAATCGTGTGTGTCGGGGGGACTTCTAATGTTGTTTTTTGAAAAGGGGGCACTTTATAAAAAAGGATGAGAAAACTGGGCTAGGCCTCTAGGCCATAGTGACTCAGAGAGGGGAACATGTAGGGGACTAGGCCTTTCGACTGTGCTGGGTGCGTCTCCTCGTCTGTTCAGCCCAAGCTACGGCACACCCTGCCCACTCTCTGCTGGGCCCTCTTGTGCTTCCTGGCTTTGCTGCTCTTGCAATGGGAAATTCTCATTCAGACGGAGCAGCCGGGATCCTGTTTGTGCGGCAGCTGCTCCTCGCTGAGTCCCTGGGGCTTCCCCCTTTACAGCGTTTGGTCTAGAAAGGCCCCTTTACCTTTAAAAGCGTCGCTATGTTGTCAGTGAGTCTCTTCACACTCTGACGCGCCGCTTCTCTTGCGTTCTGAGAAAGGTCCGTCTGGTCCGTGCTCACAAGCTGGTTCAGTTTCTTGCAGTCAGACTCAATTCCCTCCAGCTGCTGTCGTATTGATTCCTTCAGGCACAGAAGTTAAAATGAAAACTCCACCCAGCGATGGCAGGGGAGGGTCAGCGGCAGCCAGCCAGTGAGTGGGGGGTCGGTTGCCTTTCTCTGGCTGGGCAGAGCTGATTCCTGGGCTAAGCACCCTTCTTGCAGGAGACAATAAAGCCTCTTTCTGCAGTGAGACCTGGAAAAACAGAATCCCCCTCCCGGAGCCCTGGGCTGCACGACAGGCCTGATTGGAAGCGAAGTCACGTGCAGGGGACCATACGGCATGGTCTGGCCAGGACAGACCCATTTTTAAGCCCTGTCCTCGACACCCTGATCCCCCCACTCTGCCAAGACAAATCAGCCAGCAAGAACAAATGGACAAATGCTCAGTTTTGCCAAAAAAGTGGGGATACACCTAGTGGGCTATGGAAGAACACGTGGAGGGTGGGGGTGAGCGGGAATGTCAGCCCCATTCTGGAGGGAGGGCGGAGGATGGTGACTGAGGCTGGCACAATTAAGAAGGGCTAGAGAGAGCGCAGAATGGGAATTCATTTCGGTTATGTCTACACCAGCCCCCTAGTCCGAACAAAGGTGGCTAATGTCGGCATTCGAACTTGCAAATGAAGCCTGAGATTTAAATATCCCGGCCTTTACTTGCATCGTCCCATCCGGGCGCCATTTTTAAATCCCCCTAGTCCGAACTAACTGCCCTCGGCAGCCAAACGTTAACTCGAACTAAGTCGTTAGCCCGAGTTAACTGTTACACCTCATGCCCAATGGGGAGAGGCCGATGCTCCAGGACCGGGCACCACAGGGCAACGGGGGAGGAATTCAGGGAACCAAGACTCAGGACGTGGGAGAGTCTGAGACTCAGACGGAGACTCAGAGGCACCAACCAGCCCCTGGGCCCTCCCAGCGCTGGACTCTGTTCCCA